TTTACATGTGTGTGTCCAAGAAAAAGACTAATGAGAAATTCTTTTGCAATTACTATTCAGAATGACATGATCAAGCCTGCAATATCAGGAGTGTTGAATGTGTTGAAAGCATGTGCTCGAGCAAAAGGTGTCAAACGAGTCATCTTAACATCTTCAGCAGCTGCTGTAACCATAAACCCTGTCAAGGAGACAGGTCTGGTTATGGATGAAAGCAACTGGACTGATGTTGAGTTCTTGAGCACTGCAAAACCACCCACATGGGTAAAATTCAAACTTTTTTCTCCACCTATCTGGATCAGCTTTTGCCTAATTAATTTGAAATGAAATTGATTTCCAAGTTCAGTACTTTAGTGATTTTTGTTAGATTATTTTAGTTCAAAAGCAGCTCATTAAAACTCAATATAACAGTTTCTATCCGACTAAAAAGCTATTTAAAGCTGTTTCAATTCAGACTTTAACGTGTGAATATTTACCTAGAATTATGTTAATCATCCAAACATGTAGGGTTATCCTGTCTCCAAAGCACTGGCAGAGAAAGCTGCATGGAAATTTGCTGAAGAGAATCACATGGATCTCATCACTGTAATACCAACTCTCACAACTGGTCCTTCTCTCACTCCAGACATTCCATCAAGTGTTGGCCTAGCCACATCTCTCATAACAGGTTCAAATATGCACAACCTACTGGTTTAAGGACATTCTAGAGCAGTTATAAGCTTGTACTTTTATAGGACCATAGCATATACATGTTTCAATGCCATTTTTCTTGTACCTTGCAGGCAATGATTTCCTCATAAACGCCTTGAAAGGGATGCAGTTTCTATCAGGATCAATATCAATCACTCATGTGGAGGATATTTGCCGAGCACATATATTTGTGGCTGAGAAAGAATCAGCTTCTGGTCGATACATTGTCTCTGCTCACAATACTAGTGTTCCTGAGCTTGCAAAGTTTCTTAGCAAACGTTACCCTCAGTACAAAGTTCCAACTGAGTAAGCTTATACATGCATTTTCTTTCTCATTCAAGGAAACCCTTTCCTTCATCACGGATTTTCTGTTTGCAGATTTGATGATTGTCCCTCCAAGGCAAAGCTAACAATCTCTTCTGAAAAGCTTGTGAAAGAAGGATTCAGTTTCAAGTATGGGATTGAAGAAATTTATGATCAGACTTTGGAGTACTTTAAGAGCAAAGGGGCTCTCAAGAACTGAATTCGGAAATTGTTTTGCTTTTTATGAGTAGCAGTTTGCCAATAATAATTATAATAATAACCAAACTCTACGCTACTTTACCAACTTGTTAAATTACAAGCTATGATAAGAGAGCTCATTGTGCTTGTTCAAATTTTATGTTTGTGTTATACTATGCACTGATTTTAAGTGATTTGACATTAAGTTTTTTTTAATATAAATTATCTTTATTTTTTAAAGGAATTAAATAAAAATTAAACTTAAATATATAAATTAGTTTTAGTTTAAATAAAAAACAATTTAAATTAATTTTTTACTTATTTTCAATATAAAAAGGTTTATAAGGACCTAAACAATATATTTTGAATTAAATAGTTCATCCAAATATTTCTAATACAAAAAGTAAGAATAAACC